AAAGCAAAGTGTGCTTACGTGCACCCTTAGTTGCTGCACTGGGAAATTCGGACCAGTGAGAGACTGTCTCAAGTAACAAGGTATATGGCTCCTGAGGAATGACATCAGATGTATAGCTCTTGTCTCCAAAAGCATGTACCTGTTCGAGTGCTCGCGTGCTCGCGTGCTCTCGTGCTTGCGTGCTCGCGTGCATGCGTGCATGCGTGCATGCGCGCGCGCGCACACACACACACACTCACAAACAAGTAGGAAAACTTGTTAATTAAGTTCCCCGTCTACCACGTTCAGATAACTCCGATAACTCCTCTGAGCTTGACACAAAATAAAGGACTCTCCTTATCATCAGGGCTTTTCCTTCTCTGACTTTGTCTGGAGAGCCGGACCACCCACACCCTCTACCTGGGGAAGGTCATGTAGTCCTTGACAAACCTAGAAGTTCAATTTCCTGTTTCCCAGTAAGAACCTGCCCAGCAAGTACCTGGGATTACTAGAATGCCTCACCACACAAATGAGACACTGACGGTGCTTTAAACTCCAGCCAATGATTTCATTCATCCTGAAAACTACTTGCCACTCCCCAAGTTTCACATATAGCCTTGTGCATCTCGAATAAGGTATATGCGTACAAGCCCACCCCAAATAAAGGTATGCACACAAACTAAGATCCTCTGAGAGCTGTTCCATTAAAATCATTGGAGAAGACCTTACCCCCACACTCTCTCCAACTCCACCTCCCCCACTCCATCACTCCTGCCTCCTCCCTCCACCCCCATTGCCCACCCCTTCACCTCCACCCCCATCCCACACCCCTCACCCCGCCCACTCCCAGCCTGTACTCACTCCCAACTAAACCAGGATCCTGCAGAGTCCGCCTTCTCCAGACTCTGCTTCATCCTTCCAGCCTGGTGTGCATTCAATGCCTGGACACCCTGAGAGAGGAAACAGAAGATAAGGAACCACAGCTGGATCCCAACACCATGCATAACACACACACACACACACACACACACACACACACACAGGAAAGCATGAAAGCATGCACCCAGTCACCCACGCAGGCATGCAGGTAGACACACTCACAATAAGTGGTTTTTAATCCTAGGAATGTAACATTAGTGATCATGTGAAAATCTGTCAATATAAATTTGTGACAAAACTCATAGACTCATAGTCTGTAGGACTATACATAGCAGCATAGAAATGAGTTTGGGGCCTGGAACATTTCCTTGCCTGGTGATACAGATTTCTCATAATGTGTTCTAGACTTATGCTCTCATCTTATCCCACTGTTACCTTTGTATGTATCATTTCCTTCTGAGTAAGAGTATGTATCAAGGACTCTCAAATATGCATTTGGCCCTCAGCATTTCTGACATTACAGGTCAGGATCCTTTTCTGGTAGAATCGGGTACATGCAGACTTTCTTACTGAGGTCCATGCCAAACACATATGTTATCCTGGCAAAATTAGCATATCAGAAGGAGCTGGAACTTTTGAACATGCTCACACTACTTTTGGTATCTATAAAAACTGTTAGATGTAGAAACCACAGTCTGATCCATGCACCACTTTTTATTTTATCTTATTTTTTTCCCTGGGTGTTTATCCTGGAGCACAGCCTGACCAACAAATACCAATAAAATACCATGTATGATAGTCATAAATAAAGAAAATCTTCGCTGGGTGGTGGTGGCGCACGCCTTTAATCCCAGCACTTGGGAGGCAGAGGCAGGCGGATTTCTGAGTTCGAGGCCAGCCTGATCTACAGAGTGAGTTCCAGGACAGCCAGGGCTACACAGAGAAACCCTGTCTCGAAAAACCAAAAAAAAAAAAAAAAAAAAAAAAAAAGAAAGAAAGAAAGAAAAAAGAAAAGAAAAGAAAAGAAAAAAAGAAAATCTTCAATAATGAAGGATAGTAAGGTAGCTTAGTCAATACTATTCTTCACTTGCAAGCATGAAATTTGAAGTTCACTTCCTAAAATGGACCTTAAAAAAGTTAGGCTTGTACTATCACTGAAGGGTAGTCAGAAACTCACTGAGATTCAAGGACCACAGACCCTACTCAGTGTTACAAGTTCCAGGCCAGTATGAGACCCTGGGTGGGAGGAGAGGTAAACGGCTCCTGTGGAATGATGCTTAAAGTTGTGTGAGGCTGTCTTCCATATGTGCACAACACAGCCGCGCATGCATGCGCACACACACACACACACACACACACACACACAGAGGCATGCACACACATATGCATGCAACACCTCCATATACATATCTGTTCACAATGAACACACACACACAAAATCACATAATAATCTCAAAAAATTCAAAATAATACAAATCAAATCACTTTTTAAAATGAACCTACTCAGCAGACTGAACACTGAAGAGCAATAGTCTTAGCTGACAGGCTATCCACAATATTAGGACAATATTCACAGTCATGCTGCAGTCCTCTTGCAGGGCCAGGTCATTTGTAGTAGATACATCTGCACATTGTTTTGCTCTTTGGACCTGTATAGGTCTGACTCATTTCTAGGCTGAAGCCTTCATCTTAGTCATCAGGCAGGTACCTGGGAACCCAGAGTCTTGCCAGATCCAGTCGTTACAAACACCGTGTTCAATACAGCACTGTCAGGCTTCTGACCCCAGGTGCTAGGTAAATGCCAGGGGTCAGTTTACAGAGACTCATGCTCCAGGCCCACTCCTAATGCCAGGTTTGTTTCTGTGGCTTCAGACACAAACTTGTATAACTTAATTGACAGTGGGCAAAGGATGCAATAAAAAATAAAATTTTAAAATGCATTGTGAAGAATAAAAAAAAATACAACTTATTCCCATTTGTGGCATTCAGAGAGAAACTAGTAACTGTAAGTAACCGCACTTAAAAAGTGAAAAAACTTAATAATGATTATACACACAAATGATATGTTATTTTGAAAGGTATGCGTGCCTTGTAATTCTAACAGTTAGGAGGAGAAAGGAGGAAAGGAGCTGAGCTTAAAACTACCCAACAGAAAAAGAAATAAATTTCATAATGAAGATAAATAAAATAGACAACAAATTAAGAGCAAACTTAGGCGTAGCTCCCTGCGTGTATTTAATCTCCTCAGAGATTGTCTGGTAAGCAATATTTCAGGATTACCCTGGCGTCCGTGTCTCTTCTCTGACCTTTTCCCCCGGAAGATATGACTAGCAACTCCAAGTACTGTTTTCCTGGCTTTCATTATTATTATTATTATTATTATTATTATTATTATTATTATTTCTTTTCCTGAGACAGGTTTTATCTGTGCAGCCTCAGGAGTCCTGGAACTCCCTCTATAGACTAGTACTCAGAGATCTACCTGCCTCTGCCTCCTGAGTGCTGGGATTAAAGGCCTACACCACCACTACTCTGTTTTTTCCTTAGGTTTGAAATGAAGTACATTAAGAGTTTTCCATTCATATTTTGATCATACTGGTCTTCCTCCCTGACTTTCCACCCCCAAGGCCCCATTTACCTTTCTATTTCTTCACTAGTCCACTTCTGATTTCCTGTCTTACAGATTCTCACTCTTTCCCCTGTTGAAGATTTTGACACTCACACGGGGTTGGAGGTAGAGTAGAGCATGCCTTTAATCCCAGCACTCGGGAGTAAAAGGCAAATCTATATGCTTGAGTTCGAGGCACGTTTGGTCTACCAATTTGAGTTCCAGAAAAGCCAAGGCTGTACTGAGAAACCTCGTTTCAAAAAACAAAGCAGCAATAAAAAAACAAAAACAACAAAACAAGAAAAGATTTTGTTAACCACGGCATGTTTCCCTTTCTGGGGAAGAGTCTCCTAAACACACACACACACACACACACACACACACGCTCAAAATCTAGACCATGTGTTTGAGACTAAACATAGTCATTAATAAGTACGTCATTAATAAGTACAGTAAAAACAAATCCTTAAATCTGAGGCAATTTGTGTCCTGGGAACAAAATAGTCCATAATTATAATTTGACTTTGGCTTTTTTGGTGCTCTTCTTTGAAACTGGACCCCTTGAATGGAGCTCCCTCCGACCAAAGTAAAAAAATAGCATATGCGCACCTTGCAATGATAACAAGCCTTTCTGTTACAACGCCCTGGAGACTACTTCTGTGCAGACTTTTGTCACCCCGTTCGCGCCTTATCCAAACTCCTGACCTGTGGCTCTCTCCTGCTGTGTCCACCTACTATTATTACAACCCTACCCTATGTGGCTTGTGTGGCGAAACTGGTGGAGATGAAGGATGAGACTGGATCACGAATACTTTGCAGCAGCTCTGGTGCCTTTGGAGTAGCAGGCCATCGTATTCAGCGTCATGAGTTTTGCCGAACGATGGCTACGAACAGTTTTAATATCATTAATACTTCACAAATGGCCATTCTCTTTCGGGTGTGAAGTTTGGAAATTGCTAATAACATATTGTTACGTTTTCTCATGTTAAAAGCCTGTGTCCCTTTTGTTACAAGTTGTCCCTAGGAGACTAGATCGGCAAAAAAAAAAATCTGGTGTGCTGTAAAGCTGTACACCATAAAACAGTTCTGTTGCTATGGGAGAATGAAAAGAACCCGGGACTCCCAAAGACGCTAGATGTGTGAAGATCCTGATCACTCATTGGGTGAGTTTTGCGGATGTTCATTCCTCAGCCAATGAGCTTAGTGTTCTGTGAGCCTCGGGTAGGAACTTTTGCAAGTTTTGCCTACAGTTCTATCTCATCCATCATTTCCGGATTTGTACCCTTCCTCGTAAAAAAAGTAGTCCAGAGTTCTCGCCACCCTCCCTCCACCCTCCCCACTCCAATCCCCTCCCCCTATCGGTCTGGAGTCTAGAAGTCTTCCGGAGGAAGGAGGGCGGACCCCACCTTTGCTCTCCCAGCATGCATTGTGTCAACGCCATATCGCTGAGCAGGTCCCAGAAGTGAGCTGCTAGCTGGCGACTCTCTGCAGTTATCTTGACTTAGCACAGCTTCCCGCTGGTGTCCTTTGTGCCATGTCTGATAACAAGAAGCCAGATAAAGCTCACAGTGGCTCAGGTGGTGAAGGTGATGGAAATAGGTGCAATTTATTGGAGTGGCTGTTCTTCTTTGTTGCCACCACAGGTTTTCTGGCGTTCCAGTTAATCCTAGACGCCATTTATGAGCAGCAGTATGAAAGGGATGTGGCCTGGATAGCCAGGCAAAGCAAGCGCGTGGCCTCAGTCGGTCGGGAGGATGAAGACGATGATGAGGATGAGGACGACTACGACTTCGATGATGATGATGATGACGACGACGACGAGGATGAGGAATTGGAGAACCTGATGGATGATGAATCAGAAGAGGATGAGGAAGATATGAATGTGGAAATGTGTGCCGGAACTTCCTGCTGCCCAGTTAATATACCTAACTGTCACTGTGAGTTACCCGTGGTACTTACTCATGTGGGGTGTACTCTTTACCCACATCTGTAGTAAAGACCACATCTTAGTCAGGGGGTCATTTCTGGGAACCATTCCTGTCTCTCCTGTCCATGCCTATCCCCTCTTCTCTCTAACTTGCCCTTAGTTCCTCTCCTCCCATCCCCCTCCTCTTCCTTGCTCCTCCACTCCCTTTTCCCGCCTTGCCTCTCTAGGTCCAGTCCATCCAGTTCCCTTTCCCCTTTGCTCTCCTTTTCCCTCCCCCCTCTGCTCAAATTTTTGCCTCAGGCTTTCCGCTCCCTGAGCTCCCTGATCCCCTCCCACTTCTGGCTTCCCCTTTTGTAGCTGTCCCTGAAACCCTCCCCTTCCTGTTCCCCTTTCCCGCCTTTTCTTTCCCTGCTCCCCTCCCCCTCCCTGCTTACCTTTTACCGCCTTTCCTCTCCCTGCTTCCCTCCACCTTGCTGCTCCCTCCCCCTCCCTTTTCCCATTTTCAGGTGCTCCTCCCTCTCCCTCCCTTTTCCCATTTTCAGGTGCTCCTCCCTCCCCCTCCCTGTTCCCATTCTCCCTGTTTCATCCCTTTGCTCCTCTCCTGCTTCCCTATTCCCCTTTCTGTATCTTAACTCACCTTGCTCCCCTCCCCCACCCTGCTCTCCTTTTTGGACCTTTCTTTTACAGGATCCCCTCCCTCTCCCTATTTCTCTTTGTGCACCTTTCCTAGCCCTGTTCTGTTCCCTCTCCCTGCTCCCCTCCCCCTCCTTGCTTGACTTTTAGCAGCCTTACCTGTCCCTGCTCTCTGCCTCCTCCTGGTTCCCCTTTTTGTGCTTTCCTCCTCTGGCTCCCCTCCACTTTCCTGCTCACATTTTTTCCCTTTAACTTCCCCTGTCCCCCCTCACTTTTTTTTTGCACTTGTTTTCCAGGATCCCCCCTCTGGGTTTCCCTTGTAAGCCTTTCCTGTCCCCTCCCCCTCCCAGCTCCCCCTCCCTTCCTGCCTTTCTGTGCTAACCTTTTAATGCCTTTCTTTTTTAGGATTCCCTCCCCCCTGCTGTTTGCCTTTGTGTACCTTTCAAGGATCCTGCTCCCCTCCCTTTCCCAGGCTGTCACCCCTCCTTCTCTTCTCCTCAGTTCCTCCCAATCCCTGCTTCCCTTACCCCTTCCCTCTCTCTGCTCTCCTCCCCTGCCTACTGCACTTGTCTCCTGCCCCCCAGTTACCTGCTTCCCTGAGGTCCTTCCTGCCTCTCTATCCATCTCTCCATTTTTTCCCTTGTCCCTCTTCCCTTTCACT